TGATGGATGAATGTTGGATGGATGGATGGATGGATGGATGGATGATGGATGAATGTTGGATGGATGGATGGATGGATGGATGGATGATGGATGAATGTTGGATGGATGGATAGATGGATGGATGGATGATGGATGAATGTTGGATGGATGATGGATGGATGGATGGATTGATGGATGGATGATGGATGAATGTTGGATGGATGGATAGATGGATGGATGGATGATGGATGAATGTTGGATGGATGATGGATGGATGGATGGATTGATTGATGGATGGATGGATGGATGATGTCATTGACTGTACATGCACTGAAAATAATTTCTGAAACAGTACATTTGGATTTTAAACGGAACAAATTGTCCTAAATAGTTGTATAAATGCTCCTTTAGATTTTAGTTTTTTTAAGCTTAAATAGAAGTTTGACAAATTAGTTTCAAATACATTAGTAATTTTAAATAAAACCTAAAAACATGCCATTTTTATTGTAGTTTTTGCATTAATGAAGTAAATGACACTCTAACGATCTGAACATGTATTCTGGTTGTATAGAAAATGTTAACTTTGTTTGTGTGGACAGCAGTCTTGTCATCAACTTATCTTTCATAAGAAGCTTCAGCCCAAACACACGTTAACACTCTGAATTGGTTCTACAGAAGTCTTACCGGGTTGCCCTCAGGCCCTCGGTGACCTTTGGCCCCTTTAGGTCCGGGAGGCCCCAGTTCGTTGTTCTGTGAAGAGAAACAAAATGAAGATCAAGAGAAAAGCAGGGACTTTGAAAAAATAAATAAATATTAAGCACAAAACTGTCACAATCTGTAGTGATGAGAAACTATGTTTTTAGGAACATGACAGTTTTGGTTCCAAGCAGATGTGGAAAAGTTTACCATGACTGCAGGAAAATGACCAGCATTAGTTTTTTTACTCTGCAAATAACCACAAAGCCCATCCAGGGGTTGATTAAAGCATTTTCACTGGCAGCAGAAACCACTTCAACTGGGCTGGAGCCCAGCTACCACCAATAAACATGGCTCTGTGCATGAATATCGCAATGAACAATAAATTCACAAAAATAAATAAAAAACCTGGATGCAGTTTTGTGCACAGCTGAGCACGAACATTTATGACATAGTATAGGAGCGTGAAAAACTTTGCTTATTTTTCTACAGTTTAATGGGAACAAAATGTGAGTTCAAACAGCACTGCCAGCAGTTCTGTTAAAAACTTGACCAAAGCCAATAAAAAGAAAAGTGATTTTATGTTGAGTTTTCGAAGCTAAACATAATGAAGATCAATTAAATAAAGATTGTTGAGGGTGTTTCATTTAACAGGCTGCTATGCAGATAACTGGACAAGCCTCCTGAGAGAGTTGGATAGAATGTCTTCACAGCTAACTGTCAACATATCAGTACTGGGGTGCAACAATACATGTATTGAACTGTTCACTACAGTGCTCTAGGTCCAATACATACTATGTGTGGAACAATTCAGATTATTAAAATTTATTTTATCTGCTTGTCTCCTGAAGATGCTCTGTGTTGAAGGCTCAGTGGATCTGTGTTCGACTACTCCACCTAGGCTGCATTGTGGAGCACAGATCCACTGAGAAACGTGCTGTTCCAGCAACATTTAATTTAAAATCTGTTCTTTGAGGTTAAAGAAATGTTCATTATTAATTTCAATAAATTACAAATTAAGAAGAGCATGGAAATTTATSTTTTCTGTATCAAAAAAATTGAACCGTGAGACTAAAGTATCGAATCGAATTGTGAATTTTCTGTATCGTTGCACCCCTAATCAGTACAGATGTGGTTCTTTACTACATTTACTTTGCTTCTTTAAGATTTTCTTTTGTAAAAAGTTCATCTTTCAGAGAAGTTTCACATCACAACATCAAACCAAGAGCTATGAAATTGTTTCAGAAAGAGCCAGAGCAGCTGCAGGTGAGGAGCGCCGCCAAAAACAGCTGCAGCTATAGTAGCAGCTAATCTTGCTTGGATTATTGTCTAGACTGTACATACAAAAAAAGAAAAAAAAAAAGAAAAAAAAAAGAAACCCAATCTTTTAAATGCATATTCACTCAGATACCTGTGTTCCCTTTAATGACATCTTTTTTTTTTGGACTCAGGGAACACAAATGGAATAAACTAATCATTACCAGGCAAAATAAATCAAATCCATCAGTTCCTGCTCTTTGATCTGGTGCTGAAGGAACATTCAGACGAAAAGATCTGACTGCAACAAAACTGTCAACTGCAGAGGACAGATATGGAAGAGGAGAAAGACAGAAGGTAATCCCAACCACCTGACTGTAAACACTCACACACACACACACACACAGTCAGTGTCAACCATGAATAATAAACACACACACACACGTACTGTATGTGTTTCACTCAACACATGTTTCCATTTACTCCACATTCTCAACTTCAAACAAGGTGATATAAAGAACATGGACTACATCATCCACAGTCACACACTGACACACTTTCTGACCTGGAGWTTATGGCATCCTATAATGACCTTTAACCAGATGGGACTGTTTGTTAAATCTTTTCCAATTGGTGCATGGCAGCTGAAGTTAATGATAGAAACGTCACAGGATCTGTATCAGCATCTTCCTTACCACACCCTTAGCTTCAAGTTCGTGCCTCTCTGGCAAAACGCTGTGTCGAAATATTTTAGCTGTTTATATTAGACTTTCAGTGTACACTTCAGCAAAAAAAGCAAAGGAAATGCCTCTAAAATGTTTTGACCWAGCTAGATGAGTCAGACGATTTCTTCAGTGCATTGTGTAAAAATACAGTATGAATGATTGATAATCTMGAGAAAGAAGCATCTAAAAAAAGGCTCTGGAGATTGGAATGCATGTAATGAGTTCCATCTTTATTCTTTGAGACAGGAAAGGGGCATCGAGTTATGCCCTTTTACCAAAAGTCTTATTCACATAAAGCAGTAGCAGTGGAAAAATGAGCAAGTGCCATGTTTGACGCCCTTGTTTACCATTAWACCAGAAACACAATCCACTGGTTTGTTGGAACAGAAGACTGGCCCCATTTTCTTGTTTGAGCTTCTGCTTTAGCTCAGTCCAAATACTGAAAGCAGCTCAACAATGTATTACAAAATCTATATCTTTTCTTAAASTGAAACCACAACTCTTGCCTTGTACATAATTTGGTTGAATGAATCTAGCACAAAATGGTAACGAGTGAGTTTAAATCGTACTGTTTGGCTTGTTTCTTTCTATTTCCTGCTAAAGGCTCACTAATCGAATGGCGCTCGCAGTTTTGCACTTATTTCTGTAGGATGTTGATTTTCAAGAAGCAAAAACTGAAATAGCACTCCTTGAAGGAATGTACAGTATATCACCATATTAAACTAAGATCTTCTTACTCTGAAAATACTATTATTCAAATCTTATGATATTTCATAAGATTTTTCTCAGAGTACTYTATTTGTTGTGTTGCTACCAAAACATCAAATTTTAGTTCAGTATCTGTAAAACCTACTGAGCTAGAGCCATTGTTATGTTGGCTAAAATGGATTAGCTGCTGAAACCGTTTCAAACTGGACTGACTTCAAAWGGTATTCAGGTGTCATTGCAAGAAATTATTTTCCAAAACTTTCATTAAAATCAATACAATGTTTCATAAGATGTTTTAGTAACAGAGAAAAACAGTTAATGTTAAATTTTAAGCTAATATCTCAAACAGTGGTTATATACAAAATGAAAASATGACTCATAGGTACAAGTGCACCAAGTTTTAACTCAATATCTGTAAAATTCACTTAGTTATGACCATTTTCTMACTTTCGAAAATCAGATCTTTAATTGTGTTGGCTTCCAAAGTAATCTCGAGGTCGATGTGCACTCGGTGGTCCTTTCCTGCAACTTTAATTGTTTCAGGGATTCGTGGAATATTTTTCTACATAACAGACAACAGAGACATAGAACAACTGCTTAGTTGGATGAGTTGAAGATGATGCACAATTCTCCAAATTGTGGGTCGATATCTGTTGAACTGAGATGTAGCCATTTATGTGTTTTTTAAAGTAAGTTGGCGGTATATGTATATATATGTATATATAT